GGTGTAGAAGAGTGGGAAGTAGATTAGATCCCTTGCTAGTAAGTTATATCGTGCTAAGTTAAAGTATCGGGTGAGCTGGATCGGACATGATCCGGATCCTACCTGGTACCCCGCCTCCAACTTCATGGGAGCTCCTCATAAGCTTAGAGAGTTTCATGAACAAAACCCATCGAAGCCGGGACCTCCTCGGGCCCTTGGCTAGTGGATTCAAGCTTGGGAGAAAGGTATAGACGATATGACTTCGCTGCAGGATGATTGAGTGTAGGGAAAGAAAAGAAAAGTGGGTATAGAATAAGCCGAAAGTCACCCGAAACAGTCTCTCGCGCTGGCGTGGAGGAACTGCAATAGAGAGGCATAAGAACAGTCTTACAGCTATGGGACTAGCTGTCTACTAAGAGGGGGGTAGTGTAACGATGTTACAACTTCGCCATGTATCGGACCAATCCCAGAGCCGGATCGGAGGTAGTACTCGCCGCCCTCTTCATCAACCACTCGTTGTGAGGTCGGATCCGATTCGGATCCGACTAAGATAAGTATATAAGGAGACACTCCCTGTAGCTAGCTCTGTAGACTTTTGATATCCTTTCGTACAAGGCCTATAGGTGTCTATTCGAATTAAGGCTCGTTTGATGTCCCACGCACTCCCATATGCCTCTGAGTGACACTACCGCCGATACTGATCCGAGTAGTCTTGCCTGCGCCGTTACAATTACTCCACTATAGCCTCGACGCATATAATCCCATAGTCCTTGAAGGCTAAGTAAGGCTTTTTTATGTATTCGTGTACGGTAGTTGTTCCAGTAAAATTACATCCGATACCTGACATCCAATGGCATACATTCGATTCAGTTCTTTCTCCTTGTAGGTATGCTTACACACCAAGCGGCTCTTTTTATATGTAGTCGACAATTGTAAGGTAAGACTCTAAACTTAGGTAGATCGATATCTAACAGTAGTCGCCAAACCCTTTTAATTATCTAATTCAGGTCTGAGTAATAGACAGGCAGGATAGTTTTTTGGTAAAGCCTCATCACATCAGCGCGTGGCTACGTAGCATAGGCGCGGGGAAGTGGGGGCATCCTAGCGATACGCGTCATCACGTGCGTAGTTAGCGCGTTGTCGAGTAAACATAGCCGGTATTGGTTATGATGCAGCAACCACACACCTGTTAGTAGCACATTCGAGACCAACTTATCTTGAAAAATAATTCCATGATGCCTGCTGCTGCAAATCCCAATTCCCGCTCGCCCTCTCCCACACCTGCCCGACCCATTGCAGAGACGCCTGGACCACGCGCGCAAGGTCTAATCAATGTCTTCAACCAAGCCTCGAAAGCCACTCTAGACAAGTGCTCGGCCAAGAACTTTGCTTCGTGCTTCCCCACCGCTGCGCAATATAGCCCAGAGGTTCTGGACAATCTGAGGGGCCAGATTGTTGACCAGCTTGATCGAACATGGAAAAGCAACTTTGAGGATATTATAGAGAGGAGGAATGTGGTCAAACTGCTCAACTCTCTTGACCAATGTATAGAAGATGCAAGACTACGGAAGAAACGTGCGGAAGAGAGCGCAAATGGAGGACCCGTGGAGACGCCCGTGCCGTAAGTACTACACATGCGCCGACCTGCTTCTTCTCACAATGCTAAACACTGCGCAGACCTCACACACTTTCGCCTGCCGAGATCCACCTAGCCCATCTCATGCCCTTCCTTGAGAAGCAAGCCACCGCCATGAACACTAAGCTTTTCGAGACGCAACAAGCCAACACGGAGCTGCTATCGACCGTCACGGCGCAGCGTGCGGAAATTGAGTCGCTAGTCAGAGGGTTGGAGAATGTTATAAAAGATCTGGAAGCCAGCGCGCAGACAATGGCGCAAGACGGCGTGCAAGATTTGAGCAAGGAGACTAGGGATTTGGAAATGGCGATGCGAACATGATTTCAGATGAGGGAATGTAGTGTTTGAGAAAGTATCATAGACTCTTGTAGGAAGAGTTGGGTGTTACTAGTGGGTTTCCCCACCGAGACAGACCTTTGGGCATCTGGCTTGAGATATGTCGTAAGACATGCGTACTAAGGGGCTTTCGAGAGTCGAGCACTTGGGTACACTCGTAAACGGCGAGCGCACGATTGCCTTTCCCAGGGACCCTCCGAAAGGAAACCGCGTCTGCAGCCGTTCGCAGTCTTGTCCCAGAACCTCGCACATGAAGCCAGCTTAAAGCGTTTGCAGATGAGTGGGCTATCATGGCGAGGAATTTACGCCTGGTGCCTGGTGTACAACATACAAGGCTACCTGTGTTGAACTACTTAGTACATCAGCACGCATAGCTATGGGAGGAACAGAGACGACTATAAAAGGCCCAAGAGGTGGAGTAGAATGGGCAGTATGCTTGGAAGCGACAAAGAAAGATATGCGCCGTATCTTGATCTCAGTTGTGTATCCCAAACCACTTCAAGAGAATATTCTGTTTGAGTATTGCCTTCTGTTACATGCCCATCTGATACCCTTTGGTCATGTCCGTTCCAACTCAATGACCTTGCCGTTCCGCATATCAAGTTGAGGTTGCACATTCTACCAGACTTCCTCAAGTCATGATATCTCAAAGTGTGTAAAAACTTACCAATATTATCACGAATCCTGTACATCCTTTCAGCTCGCAAGATGTATAATTGATTTAAAAAAGCTAGTGCTACAACATGTCTGCATAATACTCAGTGTAAGAAAAGGAAACTATTTTTGATTTTAGAACAGCAAGAAAGTAAATTTCCCGTCTTTATCTAAAATCACATGTTCCAAAAAAAAAAATACAATTGATTCCTCTATTCTCTGAAGAAAAACTTCACAACGTCATCAAACTCCCCTCTACTTCAAGTAACACGCTAACAGCCCTTTCAAACTTAATTCCTTCCCACTCTCCAGTAATTTGTTCAGCGCCGCAGAACCAAGATACACAGGGCACTTGATACTCTGCGCCTCCTCAACTGCCAACTTCAAGGTCTCCACATAACCTCCTAGTACGCTTCCACTGCCATCCTCCTTGCCCTCTAGAATCTCAATCATCTTCTGGCCTGCTTCCTTGAACATTGTGCTGCCACCCGCGGCATCACACACGAGAGTGTAAAACTGTGGTAGCGGGATACCGACGTGTTTGGCGAGGGAAATAGCCTCTGTTGCGGCAACGAGATGGATGCCTGTAAGGAGATTCACTGCGTGTTCCAGTTTTTGGGCTTTCTCCTCGGGAGAAAGGGTGGATTGGATGGAAGTGACGGGGTCCGACGTCCAGAGACGAACGAGACCCGCGTCGTCGTTTGCGCCCCAGCCGCGGTCGAGGGCGGAGAAATAGACTTGTTCTGCGACGGAGCAGAGGGTTGTTGGGAATGCTGCGGCGCGCGCTGAGGAGGTGATGATGCCCTTTTGAATTTACGTTAGCAACCTTTCAAGCGAGATAAAATAGTGGAGTGGAAAAGAGTGTGAGAAAAGGGGAAGGACATACCGTATCCTTGAGAATGATGGTCACAGCACTCGCCCCGGGGAAATAATCCTCCTTCAACGTCCTCTGACTCCTATTCTCGAACATCCAACTCCACGCCTTCGCATCCTTCTTGCCAACAACCTCATCGTACAAATCCTGACCATTGATACCCATCCGCGCAGCAAACCCATACGCCTCGTTAAGCGACAGAATCTGGATCGCAGCAAGCACCTGATGCACCATCTTCATATTACTTCCCGCGCCAACGCCTCCATTCACAATGAAGAGTTTAGACGGCGCACTCATTTCCTCTAGTAGAAACTGGCCCTTCTCAAACGACGCTGCAGACGCACCCGCCATGATCGACAGTGTGCCATCTGCCGCTCTAATCGCACCCCCAGACACCGGTGCATCGATGAACGCGATATCCGACCGCCCAATCTCCACAAGCTCCTTCTCGACCGCCTGCGCGTACGCACTGGGGACTGTGGAGCACAGCAGCAGCGTTGCGCCTTGGGGAAGCGCATTCACGATGCCGTCGGCGTCGAAGAGCGCTGGTTGGGCTTGTGCGGCCGAGGCGACCATGACGATGTAGAAGGGCTTGTCTTTTGCGGAGGCGGAGAGGGAGCTCGAGGGTGTGCCGCCGGCTTTTGCGAATTTCTCGAGCGAGGGCGGGTAGACGTCGAAGCCGGTGACGGGGTAACCTTGCTTGACGAGGTGCGTGGCCATGCCAATGCCCATGGCTCCTAGGCCGCAGAAGCCAATTTGTGGTTTGGACGACATGGTAGTGGTTTTTTTTGGAGGGGCAAGGTGATGTGTTTTGAGGGGAATCGATGGAGGGTTTATCTGGTGGTAGTTATTTAAACCTCTTTAATTGTTGATGGAATTGTAATATGGCGAGTAGAGAAGAAAAAAACAATAGAGGAGAATGAAGGGAACAGACAGAGTCTAGGTAAATACAGGACAGGGTATGTATGTGCAGTAGGGTTTTACTACACGAAAGGGTAGTTTGAGGAGTTACTCAATCCAGCAATGCCGCTGAGCTGCCTAATCCCCACTTCGGGCTGATGTCAATATATACCGAGCTTGTCCCCACCCCCACCTCGGGGTAACGCCGTGTGCAATCGATAATATACCTTAGGCCACCCCGCATGTACATAATTACGGCAATGTCACGTGAGATGAAGTCAAGTTAGGCTGGGTTGTTAGTGCATATCACTTCCTCAATCCAATTCTACAGATAAATTCCAACCGCAAAAAAAACCAACATCACAGCTCCCCCCCTACCTACCCTCTACTATTCCGCAACAATCACCGATCCAAACCCCTTCAAAAAAATGCCAATCTATGGCTAACTATCAAAAAAACCCATTAGTCTCACCCATATTCCCCCCCCCCCCCCCAATTTAGCCTATTCTCTCCAACCATTTTTTCCCATTGTGATATCCAGATTCTTCAGCCCCCCCTCCCCAACAAAAGCCCCAGCAGTAAACTGTATCTAATCAAATACGAGAAATTAAAAAGGTTTAAACCACTTTGGCGCATTCGCCATCCGCATCAGTGAATGCGATGAATGGTCCTAAAAAAATTAAGTGAGGGGGGGAGAGTGCCGAAAGTTCGGCGAAAAAGCCGATGAAGCAAGAGTAGAAAAAATGGGGAGGGGGAAGCCAAGAAAAGGAATGAAACAAGTTTGAGTTGAAACGATTGATTTACCGGACACCGGGAATTTTTGTTGGTTCGGAGTGGTCATTTCTCTTGGCAATAGCTAATTGATGACTCGGATTCTCCGTTTCCATGACAATTGAGTAAAGATTGGGTTATTCGATTGAAAAATGTATACAACATTGTGGAGAAATATAAAGACTTCATCATAAAAGCATACGTAGAATTAACTTTATTATAAATATTCGCTTTGCACTAACTCTGTAAACGTTCCGCATTACTGAAAATGGTCGAAAAACAAGCCATTCTATCTGCATCCATAAAGGGAACACCCGAATTTACGTGAGAGCAAACTATTCAAACCCAAAATTCCCTTACACAGCTCGAGCGACATGAGATTGGAAAGGTGGAGCCATATTCACAATGTCATTGTCCATTCCATCAGGGGTATACATCGTCAGTCCTTGTAAAGACGAACTATTAGTTGACGGAGAGTGGAACACTGCCTAGGCTATCAGTAATGCATCTAAGCAGCCACCATTCTCTCCTCTTCCCGGCCACGGTGGTGCTCGCTGGCAATCGTGGACGTGTTTTCATCGTCAAGCTCGTCACGGTCCTCGTAGCCGTTGCCTTGGTGCTCAGAGGCAGGGATCCATAGACCAGACTCGCGATCAAGGGCTTGGTCTTGTCCAGAGAGATCGACACCCTCGCCGTGGCCACGGCTCTGGTTGCGGCGGCGCTGGGAAAGGGTCCGGGATCGCTGAGAGAGCTTGGCAGAGACAGAAGCGTTCTGAGAGACCCAGTTGGTAAGAGCGTCCTCGCAGTCTTGAATAATTCTATCGTGTGTTAGTGAATAGCTCAATAGAGAGAGATAATCATGACGTACGCCTTGCTAGCCTCGTAGCCATCGTAGGCCTGGCGTGTCTCGCCGGGAGTTACTGGAGTATCGTCAACCAACTCGAGAAGGTGCTTGCCGTAGCCAGCAATGATAGCAAGCTTCTCGCAATGTTCCCGCATGGCATCGAACTGATATGTAAAAGCAGCCTTGAGCTTCTCACGGGTGATGTTGGAAAGCTGGGCTTCGGCGACCAGGGATTCGGCCTCAGCGCGGACAAGCTCTTGCTCGAGGACAACAATCTTAGGGGAGTTGGGCTCCTTGTATTTAAGCTGAGCAATCTGGTCGGTAATCTTCTGCTTGCCTGTATGATTATAAGCTTTATACAATAACCAGAGACTGTATTTGACTTACGGTCACGGCTGGGCTGGACAGAGGCCTCAATGTTGCGAATGCTCTTGATCGTGACACGGTACTGATCGTAGCGGTCTACATACTGGTCCTCAAGCTCACCGATTTCGTAGATGAGGACACCGAGCTTGTCAGTAACATCAGAAACGTCATCGTCGCAAGCCTCACCCCAGATGGAGAGTTGTTGCTAGAAGCGAGTAAGCATTTTGTCGAGTCCCAAAAAGCACCGGGCAGACTTACTGCAACTTCCATGCGCTCCCTCGAAACCAGTTCCATACTGCGCATAACGTTCTTCTCCATCTTGACGAGTTGTGAGAGCTTCTTGGCAAGATCGGGACCGAAGGCGCCGGCGGACTTGTGCCGGAATGTGTGACCTGAATTCGATGATGGCGATTAGCTACAGTTCCATATCTTGAAGCATATAAAAACGGAGAATAGGCAATCCGGTAGTCCATGACGCTGAAACCTGGTGGCACTGCTGAGCGCAGCGCAGCGTTTTTGCGCATGTTGCGCCAAAGATGGCAAAGAAGAAGACAAACTCGAAAAGCGATTTTCTAAGAACGTACCGATGTTGGCCTTGCCAAAGAAGCGCCCGCTCTTGGTCGAGGATGCGGGAGGCGGAGGGTTCTGGATCTGCGACGCCGTGGGCGCGCGGGACTGGCGCATGCTGTATGTTCGGTGCATCGTGTCTTGCGGGTGTCGTTTGCGGGGTTTGCGGGGTTTGCGGTGGGTTCAAGCACAGTGGGTTGCAATGTGATGTTGTTGTTGTTGGAGTGGGGTGCAGTGCGCAAATGGGTCGTGGTTAGGCCGCGGTTTTGTTCGACCAGTATGAATGACGTAGCTGTAGCTGCCGGCCCACTCGGAGGGGTGATCGTACATACTCTAGTCCTCGGGCTCGTCCGCCATCCTCGCTCGCATCATTGCACATCCTCCACACTCCCATATTGGTATCTACCGCCCCTGGCTAGCATTAGACATCCACCTGCATAACCGAGCTGCTGCTCCTTGCCTGCATTTTCCCTCTGTTATCCTGAGCATCTCGAGTTGTCTGCACATACACCGGAATCATCGCACATGGTCAGGTAGCTTTTGGCCTGCTTCCGCGTGCTAGCATAGGCTGTGCTGGATATCAATGGCGCCAGTGGTCATAGTCTTGCTTGCCGACATATATGACGTTATTGTGTGCCTCTGGCCGGCATTGTGTAGGCGCCACCATTTTCACGCTACCAACAAACAACTTGCCTCTAGCACTACCAAGTGTAACTTAATGTGTCTAGTCAGGGGCTGTACGCCAATCACAAACCCGCACAGGTTCGTGAAGCACTCCAATTTGAATTATTTGTCACTACACAGATATAGTTTCATGCTACACCCAAGATGCAATGTATTGAAGTAACTTGGAATGGGGTATCAGATTGTCTAAAAATGACCTTGCATTGCTCCGTCGTGCAGCTGATTCGCAAAGACACTAAGAATGCTGCCAGCCTCACCCAAGCCATTGGTCGGGCGCAGCGCCCAAAAAATCAACTCGCCCTCTCGTGGCGACCGACGATGATGTATGGCCAGTGACACAAGTCCTACTGCAGCTGCTGTAGCAACACCAAATACACTGCTGAGAAACAATGGGGATGGCAGCTCTGACCGAAAACGCTTTGAAACCAACATTGGTTCTGACGTAACAATGGTACGTTTTTGCGACACTGTAGCAATGCCGGGCAGGTTTCCCAGAATCTCCTTTGTACAGGCCATGGCACTTGCGCCGAAACTTGCTGGTCTTGTCGTCCATGGCAGTGTTGTGCTGGTTGCAATGTTGGATTTGCCGGTTGAGACAGCCCAGATGTCAGCAGGGCTGACCTCCTCCTCATGAAAGAGATCTCTATGTAGTCTGTGAACGTATGCCCCTATACGCGGGTACTTCGCCCGGATCGTCTCCCTGAGCCAAGCCTGGGGTACCGGAGGGTAGATGAGAAGGGACAGGTACCCAAAGGCCAAGCAGTCTAAACTCGAGGGCTGATCTCCCCGGAATAGGTACTTGTTCTTGCCCAACAGATCTGACAACGGGTCCAGCAGTTCGGCCGAAAGAGCGTCAAGTCTGAAGCGAGCAGCATACACCTGGCCACCCAAAAGGCCTCCCAGACCCCTGCCCCGTCCTATGTTTAGAGATCTGGGCTGACTCTCAGTAGGTATACCAGCTGCCCGTTTGGCTGCCTCGTACTCCGAGGATGCAGTCCCCCGGCCAGGCGCAAACTCTTCTTCAGCCGAAGTATCCACGTCCAGACTGCTCAGTCCCATGTGTGCCGTCCTCATCCGGGCCAGGTCTCGCCGTCTGGGCGGAACCGTGTAGTTTGCATACCATGGTAGAATGGCCGTATATGCGGACGCAGTAGTCTTGTTGTAATTCTCGGCGGAAACGTAGAGTGAGAGATCGACGAGCGGTGTTGCTGTAGCCTGGAGAAAGGTGCCGAATCTGGGTCGCGTGAGATGCTTTCTTGGTATCAGTGCGTGAGTTGCTTACGCAGTCCGGTCAGTCCGCTGGGCGCTTGAGAGACCAGCATCTATGTCGTTGGTGACTGTGGGGTAGTTGCGAAGATAGGCAACAATGTCCTCGAACCCGGATGCCGTTGCAACGCCGTCGTCAAAGAGAATCGGTAGTATTTCTGGAATGAGTGAGTCAACGGGTAACTTGCCATCGGGGACCAGTGCCTATACCTGCTGTTCCGACGGTTGGATTATGGCTTGCGACCAAGGACCATCCCCCCTCTGGAATGACGCGGTGGCAGTATGCTATGGTGGCTATGCATTCGGCCTCTATCGAAGCGAGGCCGAATGCGGGACCCCATACGTGGAGCTCTAGCACCATTGCTTGTGCGGCGTTGCGGTGGGTGTCTTGTGTTCATCAACGTCTTAGCGGTCCTTGCAACCAACTTTTGCGCATGCCGATCGGAACTAGGGTCGGAACGCTTGCACGTGAACGCGCATCATTGTCTAATGCCATAGGGCTGTCGGACTTGTAGGCTAACCGTTCCACATATGTACCTACTACACTGCCATTCTTGAAACACTTCGAGAATCATGGCACCACTCCGAAAATACCTCCGAATCACCAAGCACTCGGTCATCGAAGTGCGCATCTATCTAGATCGGCCAGCCGATGCAGATGCATGGCTACTGAAACGCGACGATCCAGCGCTGCCACGCGTCATCCAAGCAGTGCAACCGCTGGTATTGCCCAAACTCCGGGAGGAAAACGAAAGAGGCAAGGGACGGGGTGGTGCTAAAGCAAAGAAGAAGGGAGTCAAGGATGTGGTGATTCAAGGTAAGCTGTATGGCCGGGAGTGCCGACGATGCAGATGAGAAGGTTAACAGTGGCGTATACCGATCACTGGCTAACCTGCTATCAGATGACTTTGAAGTTTCAATCTTCTTAACGGAGTTATCATCCCGGCACTCTGTTCTCACGAAGCAAAAGATCTTCAAGGACAAGGCCCGCATTCAGAGCAACTCGGGCAAACTCACGGGATGGCTAACATCCGGGACAAGTGATCAGCCGGTTGTAATCAATGAAGATGCAGCAGAACCAATTACAATAAGGCAAGAGGACAACAGCGGTGCAGTTAACCTTTTTGATATCCCCGAGGCCAAGACAGCGAAAAAGCAACACAGGTATGCATGAAGGGAAACAAACTCTGAGATGGCGCCCAAAAGTGCTTACGCTGTGCAGCGAGGCTAGCGATAGCGAGACATCAGACTTGATTGTATCTGAACAAGCCAGCATTACGGGAAACACGGCGCAGGACCAGGATGAGGGTCAACGAGGAGATGAGACTAAGAAACTCGGCCTCCGGACATCCTACGATGGATTTAGCATCTATGGTCGTATTCTGTGTCTGGTGGTCAAGCGGCGTGGCGCTCGAAATGCGGCGCCAGCAAGCGGTGCAGCATCTGGTAGTCAGGCC